TGATATGGCAACCACCTGGAGCAAAGTGCCTTATGATTTCTACAGAAAAGACAACGTGACCTAGAGGTTGTTGCTAAATTCAAGACAAGCACGGGGGTGAAGGAGTCATACAATGGTTTTACACTCTACTGGTGCTGCATCCAAGACCTATATATTATTCCTTATCTAAATACATTGAGAATTCAAACATATTGGATCTTAAGATGATGTGTCAAACCTGAACGGGCTCTTTTTCTGTTAGGTTCAGTAGCCTTAGACATAAACATAAACTATAGATGAAAGCATCCAAGTAAATGGATTAACACAGGTTTTTAATTCAAGGCACTTTATCAAGGATGCACAATAATAATTAAAAAAACACACCAGATGATAAGAGGTTGAATTTGCAGAGAAATAGTATGCTCTTACTATTTGGAGTGAGCTCCCGTTGCTTTGTCCCAACTCCTTGCCAACCTAGCAGTTCGAAAACATGTAAATGCGAGTAGATAAATAGGTACCATCTCGGCGGGAAGGTAAACAGCGTTCCGGGTCTAAGTCGCATTGGCCATGTGACAACGGAAACTGTCTTCGGACAAACGCTGGCTCTATGGCTTGGAAACGGGGATGAGTACCACCCCCTAGAGTCGAACACAACCGACTAAAATGTCAAGGGGAACCTTTACCTTTACCTTACTATTTTCAGCACTTCAATCGGATCCTATGGTTAGTTCTGACATACAGTAGCACAGTACTGTATCTTTTTTCATGCTAGTGGTATGGTTTCCATCTGGAAGGAAAACAGAGTTTCCCCAAACAAGACAAAAGACTATAAAGACTGGTGACCAAATGCAGGAAACACCTTCGTTCTGTGAGCCCTGGAAGTGGGGAGGAGTGGGGCATGTCATGGAAAGCAAATGATATTTCCATCAGATAGGATTTTGACTGGATTACCTCCTACCCAGAAGCAAGTTCGCAGAAGTAACAGACATACCAGCTGAAATCCTGTTGTGCAGTTACAAAAATGATGCAACATTTAGACACAAATTGCTGTAAATTAAGATATTTCCACAGGCATCATCTCTTGCACACTGAGTTGTGCGATTCAGTATGCAGCAGATAATCTCTTTGGACATTTCTTCACTTGCGACAATCTACTTCCAAAAATTATTCTGTTTCCATAACTGCACAACAGGACTTCAGCCATCATGTCTGTCTGATACTAGAGGTTAATACATACCCATCACTAACTGACAGCTTCTCTGTCCTTAAAAGAAAAAAAAAGTCCTGAACTTGGCAAAAAGATACAACAACTGTATTCTGGAGTATAAATATATGCTGAGGGAATACCTCAGATTGCGTTCACAAAGGAACATTGTGCCTCCTTAATCTCTTGGGAATCCTGGATTTCACAAGCATATGGACACCGTACCATACAACGTGCTTTTATCCCAGTACATAATATTTCTGACAGGGTACACTGCTAGACATGTCATAAATTAAGATCTGGCAAAAAAAGGAGACCTAAATCTGACATCACAGTACAGTGGTGCCTCGCAAGACGAATGCCTCATGGGACAAAAACCCCGCAAGACGAATGTTTTTTGCAATCGCTATGGTGCCTCGCAAGACGAAAGTAATTTGTTCCGTGAGTAGTGCTGTCCTATGGGAACCTCGCAAGACAAATTAATTATTCTCGTCTTGCGAGGCATTGGTCTTGTGAAGAAAAATCGTCTTGTGAAGCACGGCCATAGAAGAAGCTGTCTTGCGAGGCACCATAGCGATTGCAAAAAACATTCGTCTTGCGGGTTTTTCGTCCCATGAGGCATTCGTCTTGCGAGGCACCACTGTAAATCTTTAGGACAATAGTGTAGACTGTGAACAGGTTGATCTTGCAAAAGTAAATGATTAAATTTCAAATGAAATTTAGTGCAATTAGTGCAAAGTAATGCACAATGGCAATAACCATGAAATGGAACTGAAGCATCTAGAACCCTACATTGCCATTCAGGAGATAGATTTTGGAAGCACTTTGTGTCCAGCAAGGCACAAAGAAAGGTTAGGATCTATTAGGGAAGAAGAAGAGTCAGGAAATCCCACAAGTAATTGCTAACAATCCTCATATCAAACATCACTGGTGTGTGCACAACTTGGTATGTTCTGCTAAATTACGCATACAAAAAGCAGATGGAACAGCAAAATATTTTTTCAGAAAACAGAACAGAAATTATCAAAGTCAAGGATAATTGCCATTATGAGGAAATTCCTCGAAGTCTCTAACAGTACTTGTCAGCTGAAAGGTGGTGCAACAGGCAAGTCTAAGACTATATAAAAGTCCTATTTTAAAGAAAAAAGTGAACAAGGTACTCGTATTTTACTCTTATCTGGTAAACTGTGCATGTGAGGACCTTGAATTGACAGTGATTCAAACACTAATCATTCAAGCAAGGAGCAATTCACTCACCCAGGATGCACAATACAACAAGTCATGAAACTGCAGAAATCCTGGCCTGTCATTTATGGGCAAAGTGTTAGTTCTGTCGTGTCTCCAGCTACTAAAAACAACAAGAGCTTTGCTCTGCCACTTGTTCATGTTGTTTGCACAGAGTCAGCTCTCTGATTTGTTCCTCTTAAGGTGGACACTCATATGCCATCAAAGAACAGGACATATATTACGAGAGCGAGAGAGCGAGACAGAGAGACCACCACTTTACATAAAACTGCATGTGATAATTCATATATGCAGATGCAAAATAATGTATTATTGTTAAACAGAATTATAGTCCATTTCACTCAAGTGAGGAAGATGTGTTACCAGGTGACCTGTGTATTTGCTGTCTGCTGCTCAACTGCAAACTGAGATGGACAACTCCAAGTTCCCTGATATTTCTCCTTATGAATCTTTGTCTTTAAATCATACTGGGACTGCACTACCCTTTCAAATGAAGGTTTGTCTTCTGTTTAAAAAAAAGTATCTAGTGTCTCTATGGTTTTCCACCAGGTACGCTCAAACCAAGGTAGACAAAGAATTTATTTGAAGGTTTCTTACTCTAGATTATTGATGAAACAAACTAGAGCAGTGGCTCAGACCACATTCAGACAACAAGAGAAGCCCAGACTGAAGCATTTGTGATTTCTTTGGCAGCTCCTTTTAGAAGCCACAGGAAGCACTCAGTCTGCTGACCATAGGCTCCCAGGTCCTGCTTTATGGGGGTGCAGAGTCTTTCTTTGCCCAGGGGCTTGGATCTTTCATCTAGAGACAAATGCACAATTGCACTCTTTCAGTTCTGTGATGTTCCAAAGATACACTTGCAGTATCTCTTTGTCAGCATCTTCTTGGTTTTTTTTTTAAAGTTATCAGATATTAGGATGCCCAGAGACTGCTTGTAAAATTTCTAACTCCTGTCAAAGATAACACTTGCCCGGGCTAGTGACAGGTGCAGCCTAATATTTAGAAGGTTATACACAGCCTGCGCTGGCTATAAAACGTGGGATCTTGTCTGCACAAAAAGGTGCTTCTCTAAAACTGCATTTGGCTTATCCATTCTCTTTTCTTATTCAATACTGCCAACCAGCCCAGACTCCTTGCTGTCAAAGATATGATTCAGCCTGAACTGTCAACTAACAGCAGCTATACCCAAAACTGATGTCAGCAGTATATGTCTCTTTTATGAAACAGTTGGATCAGATGGTATTTCAGCTCAATTTCTTTGTTCGGTACCTTGACTACAATTTTCTTTCCCAGCCAGTGACCCTAGGTTCATACAATTATTTGAATACCTGCATAATGGAAACTTATTGTCAACTGCATGATCAATCAACTATAACCATGATTCAATTTTTTTGGTGCATGATATGGGACTCAGGTAATATTCTATTACGTACTATTTTGGCACCCTCACTGGCAATTCAGTCCAACATGTTTACAATAGCTCTGAAACACTGCATAACATCAGACAGGAAATAAAAATAATGAATCTATGTCAAATTCTGATGCATAATTTTTTAATTAGCACAATGGAAGCATCCAGTTGTTGGAACCTGGCCAGGATCAAGGAAGTGAGTTTCTTACTCACTTGGAGTCATTAGAAGCAGCCCCACTTAATTGAAATAACTCTACATTGTTGCATTATGTTGGAAGATCAGGAAGCCTAGTGCACTGAGGGTATGAGGGTGAGTGAGAGAAGGTGGGCTGTGATGTTCCAAAGTCACAACCATGCTGCCAGCTGTGATATTCAATTCAGAAAAATCTCTCTTTTGACAAGCAGTTTGGTAAGGGAACAACAAGGGGCAGAATATAGCATTTTAAGCCAGGAAAAAGTCAGCATAAGTGGAACATCCATTATGCATAAATGGTTATCATGCAGATTTACACTCATTGAGAGTCTGGTTAAACCAACAAGTCAGAGCAGTCAGTTATTTACAACACAAATTACTGCTCCTATGAAATGTGATGGATTTGCTTTATCTTACAAAGTGAATCTATTCATACCAAAGTAATATCTCACTATGAGGTAAACAAGAGGCATCATTCACTCAGGGATATCTCACTTTGTAACTTTATGACAGACACTCTTATCAGCTCTAGGGAGTCTGCAACAGAGCTTGGAAAAGGTTTTTTTTTGGTTTTCTTTCTTTCTTTCTTTCTTTCTTTCTTTTTTTTTTACATTACTTTAAGCTGACCATGAATTATGGGATTTGCAGTTCAAAAGCTTTTCCCAAGGACTACTCCACAGCTTCAAACACTGGAGCAAGTGGGCAAAACTGGAGTGGGGGAGAGAAGTATCACCAAATCACAATGTGGATTTTGGAACTAGGCTTGGGGTCAACACGACTTCTCCTATATTTCAGATTTTTTTTTTTTTTTGGAAAAGAACAATGGACTTGCCAAATACTACCGTGCCTCAGAATTAATACAGGATGAAAGGACTTGCTTCACTTAGACAGCGACTGTTTTCCTGGAGAACCTCTTACCTGCCCTCTTGCCTATACTACATAATATGTAGAAGCCACTGATTACTCACATTCATTGTCACCACCAGGAGGATGATAGAAGGAGAGACCCAAGGATATTATGGCTGCGATTTCCAAGATGATTAATGTAACGTCCTGCAGTGCTTCCCAGACTAGCTGCAGGAAGGTTTTGGCCTTTTTGGGTGGGATGAAATTCTGGCCAAAAGCTTGCCTCCTTTTCTCCAAATCCGCAGGGTTCCCAGACAGTCCTGCAAGCAAAGAGAAGATAATTAAGAGGGAGTGTCACTCTCTTATTTTACTATCTAAGGCCAATTTCCTTCACCTTCCACAGCTTCTGTTATTTACAGTATAATAATACTTCCTGCCTTACCACACCTGGGCTTTTCAGCTGAAAATACATGTGAAAATACATAAGTACCCTGATCATAAGCATTCTGAACAGAAGGGTAACTGAGACACAAAGAAGGGAAACCTACAGCTTTGGCAGAAACACTTCTATTTGTGACTATGTGGTATCTGCTGTGAATGTTAACCTGTTATTCTGAGAATCTCGGCTGCTGTTATGACTAGTATGAAGTTTCAAAGAATCTCGGCTCTTGTTATTACTACTATGAAGTTTCAAATCATTAGAACCAGAAAGAGCTGGAATACATGTACACAGATTCTGCAGCTTACTCTTTTGAGTACCTCTATCGCAGATATGAAAATCATTTCAACCTGAAAGTGTCTTGCACCAGCTATCTACACTCACTCTAAGACAGCTGCAATGCCTGGTAGTGATTTCCGCAGCTGTCTTTTTGTTTATTTTCTTTCATACAGCTGTTTACCCAGCACTTCAAATCTTAACCTTACTATCGCTATTTAAACCAGTGAGGGGAGAAATCCATGCTTTTAGAAAAGTTTGTGCACAAAAAAATTAAGCATCGCAGGAAAATATTAAACAAAGTAAATAGATGCAAATTATGTCACATAATTCATTTTAAACAGGGAACAGGGATTCACAGAGCCCCACCTTTAAATAAAAGACTACTAAGGCATGTTTTTTGCACTATAATTTCCACTATAATTCAGGAAATTGGCTTCCCATGTTCTTTTTTTCTGGCAAAAACTACAACGTAGGAAGGGATTTTATCTTTTGCTTGATTGTGAAACAAAGAAATATGCATTCAAAAATCCAAGGAGAGAATAAACATTTCTTTTGGATACATGAGCAGACAACAGAATACAACAAAATATATTAGGCACTCCACTGCAGGAATAGTTTGTACACACATACCAGCAATAAAACTGAATGCATGTAAGATGTCTTGCATTAGATCATCTACTTGGCACTGGAGATCATTATAAACCAAGCAGCCTTCAGGAACAGCAGAGGAGCACCAGTCGACACTGACTGCAATGCTAACTATCCTTGAAGGACACCATTTCAGAACAGGGGTGCTCCCCAGCACACAGAGACTTGCATGCTGAAGACTTGCTTACTGGAATCCAAGAAACCAGCAGTTTCAGCTGGCTGAGCTGAGTGGGATAAAAGCAGCAAAGTTTTAGATGTTGGCTTTTGCTCATACATCAGGTTGTGAAGATTCATTCTACAAACCAAGTGGCCAGGATGGGAAAAGGTGACAAGCCAGCTAGTAACGTGAACTAACTGATGTTAATTCAAATATTGACCTTACACATGCTAAGGAAGAAAGGGGGCTGAATTAAGGAATGGAAGAAAATCCTGCCTGCTTTCTTCTTCAGTCTCATCTGCAGTCTCAGAGAAAGAACATGATCAGATCTCATCTCATAAATCCATATTGCCTCCGATCTGCCTTTTACATGGAGCAGGAGGTTATCAATAAACCCACAGCTGTCTATCTAGTGGTGGTATGTCTTTCTGATGCAACTGGGAATGAAGAGGGGCTTGCCAGTACAGGGACATTACCGCAGCTTTAGGAGTAGAAAACACACGAGAATAGCAGGATATTATCATGTAAAACAAAAAGGGGGTTTATGAAGGGGAACTTTATGAGGAGCCTGAAGAAGTTCCCTTGGGATTAGAAGAGACAGAATTCCAGCGGACATGCTGTAGCCCAATGAGAAGTGGTACTGAGGTGCTGGGGGAGTACTGAGAATCCTTGCAATATGCTGTCTGTCAGCCACACTCTGCCTGTCTCTGGCCTAAAAAGGAACAGCTTTCATGAGGAAAATTTATCTTGTATAAGTGACTTGCAACGAAAGCAGCTCCTTCTACTAATGCAGGGGTAGGACATCTCCAGAAGCCCAAAGGGTGCACACACCCTTCCCTGGACATCAGAGAACCAAATTTTTATTTTCCTGAAAAAGTCCCCTTTGCCCTCTAGAAACCAAGAATAGGCTTCTATATAAAATATAGAATATATATATATTTTCTTGGCTCCTAGAGGGCAAAGGGGACTTTTTCAGGAAAATAAAAATTGGGTCCTCTGATGTCCAAGGAAGGGTTTGTGCACCCTTTGGGCTTCTGGAGATGTCTCATACCAAAACATATTTAATTTATAATTATAAATTAAATATGTTTTGGTATGAGGGCCCTGCCTGGGCTGGAGGGCCAGCCTCAAAACATAAAGATTGCAAGGCAAATTTTTCAGGGTTTTTCCCCGCCTAATGGGCGACAAGGATGTGGAGAATCACACAGATGCTGGGCACCACAGCTGGGCTAATGGGATGCATGATGCCCGACCTGCACTAATATGTTGGCAGCAATAAGCTGTTCTTGTTACTTTATGGAAAAAGAATACAGTAGAACTAAGAAGGAAAGGCCAACGCAGGAGAGACATCTACAAACATGAAGACATGCTTCCCCCTTTTCCTTCTTTAATGAATGTATGCAAATTCCAGTTATCAATATGTTGACCATGTCATGATAACTTGATTAATTAGCTCAATTAAGCTTGTTTCACTGTGTTTTTCTAATTCCCAGGACAAGTCAGGCAACTCAGCCCCATTCCAAAGGTATACAACAATCTGTATTCTATAAAAGGCTGTTGCCCAGTGAGACTGGGACACACCTTCCCACAGGATCTAGTATGAAGATGCCAAATCCTTCTAGTACTGTTCAGCATGATGCTTGTAAACCAAATGAAAGCATTACTTCAACAGAGAACATTTTTAAGGCGCAAGAGATGACTGTGTGTTAAGAACATGTATGACTGATATGGGAAAATATGACTCCATAATTGCAGAGATCCTTGATAAATAATTAATTTTAATCATTCCCTTTTCTCTAAAACAATCAGGGCAGTTAGGTTCACTCTCTTTCACTCTAGGATGAAAGATGGTAAACTTTGGAAGGATTTTAACTTGAGCGTCTCTGGTCTGAATCCAACACACTAACCGCCATGTGGTTGTCGCTTTCATTTGGTTATGTCGCTAAGAATACAGCTGCTGCTGATGAACAACCACACGTTACTTGAGGGAATTACTTGTTTTAAGTTAAACAAAAACTGGCACAGAGAAAACTAGACCTGTTTTGAGTGCTTGCTCACAATTATAACCACAATGACCTATAAGGCTTTGAGCTATAAAGATTCATTCTCTTGGGGACACTCTCTTTAGCGCATTAAGTCTTTTCAGCATAATTTTTTCTAACACTCCCCACTCCTACTAAAAACACTTGGAGCCAGAATCCCAAGAACTCCCATCATGCTTTGCTTGGACAGGAAAGGTCAGAACAATGTACTCCATACTAACAATCTGGATGCCACTTTCTTTGACATATGGGATGCTGCTAGGGGTTCTCAGTTGGCATACAAGCTCATGAGAACTTGGCAAGCTCTTTGACTGGTGATTTATTTCTCTTCCTTCTTCCTCCTGTAAATGAAAGGAGAGAAAAAGAAGAACATTCTGAAGCTACTGGAACCTGTTGGCCTAATGTGAATGCTGGTGCAATGTGAAGAGAGAACATAATTTTGCTTTTGTTCAAAAGCAAGCAAATCATGGTGACCGTGAAATTAAAGGGTATAATTCAGAGACAGACAGACAGAGAGACAGAGACTGCCCAACACAATCTGTGGTGTCTTCTTAGTTCTAAGGGAGAAAAAAAAAGGTGGGTACCCGATCCAGAGAAAGAAGAGGCTCTAGGCAGTAAATCATCCAAGGCCCTTCCTTATGGTAACATTTTCCAAGTCAATTCTTTCTAGTCCAGCAACATCTGGCTGGAACAGAAGGGAAAACATGCCTCATTGGACTTACAGGCATAGCCAGAGACCAAAGACTGAGTAGGGAAATTTTTAGGGAAGTCAGTTTTCCCATGAAGTAACATGAAGCATGGAGCTATAGAATTCACTACCACAAGCTATAGTGAGGCCTGTTTATTCAAAGAAACATTAAAAGAGGAAAAGACAAATTCTAAGGAGGATAAAGTTACAGCCCTCTCTTTTTCTGTATTTTAACATAGTGAGAGGGTTTCAGTGTGTCAGACAGGCTAGTGGAGAGTTTTGACAAAATGTGATCCACCTGGAGCAGGAACTGGCAAGCCACTCCAGTACCTTTGCCAAGAAAACTCCATGGACAGAAACAAAAGACTACAAGATACGACGCTGGAATTTGAGCCCCTCAGGTCAGAAGGCATCCAATATGCTACTGAGGAAGAGCGGAAGACAAGTACAAGTAGCTCCAGCGCTAATAAAGTGGTTAGGCCAAAGCTGAAAGGACGCTCAGCTGCGGACGTGCCTGGAAGTGAAAGGAAAGTCTGATGCTGCAAAGAAAAATACTGCATAGGAACCTGGAATCTATGAACCTTGGTAAGCTGGATGTGGTCAAACAGGAGATGGCAAGAATCAATATTGACATCCTGGGCGTCAGTGGGATGGGAATGGGCAAATTCAATTCAGACAATTATCCTATTTACTACTGTGAGCAAAAATTCCGTAGAAGAAATGGTGACTCTACACGTTGACATCACCAGATGGGCAATACCCAAATCAGATTATGTTCCTGCAGCCAAAGATCTAGACTCTCTATACAGTCAGCAAAAACAAGACCTGGAGCTGATTGTGGCTCTGATAATCAGCTTCTTACAGCAAAACTCAAGTTTAAACTGAATAAAGTAGGAAAAACCATTGGGCTAGTCAGGTATAATCTAAACCAAATTCCTTATGAATACACAGTGGAAGTGAAGAACAGATTTAAGGAACTAGATTCGATTGACAAAGTGCGTGAAGAACTATGGATGGAGGCTTGTAACATTGTACAGGAGGCAGCAGCAAAAACCATCCCAAAGAAA